GGTAAGCAAAGTTTATATGAAACATTATTACAAAAATGAAAACCCTAAGTTTTTAATATATATGTAACCCTTTAATATCATATTATAAACTATACTATATATAAATATTTATGGCAGGTACTTGCATCCAATAACCTATGGAGATTATCCACCTATCATGAGGGAACTCGTGAAGGAGAGATTACCCAAATTTTCAGCTGCAGAAAGTGCTTCAATCAAAGGGTCACTTGATTTTCTTGGACTAAATTACTACACAGCTAACTATGCCAAAGACAACCCCAATGCACCAGGACAACAACCAAGCTACTTGACCGATTATCGTGCAGATCTCTCGAGTATGTTTCACTTTTTCGATAATCAAATTTGGGAGTTCATCACGATTTCGTTTTATCATCTGGGTTCGCTTAAGAGCCTACTATTTAGGGTTTTTTATGTTCAAAACTTTCGATTTGACATTTTGTCATGTTTTTTAACTGTAGCTGATCGTAACGGAGTCTCAATTGGTCCAAAGGTAACTTACATGCAAATCTATTCAGTGAATGAATTGTACATGTCATGATTATCTAATAATTTTCTTTGATTGTATTATATATAGTTTAGTGCGATATCTTGGCTCGCTGTCTATCCACAAGGACTTAAAGAATTACTGATCTACACGAAGACCAAGTACAACGATCCATTAATCTATATCACCGAGAATGGTAAGAAGACAAAACTTAGGTTTAGCAAACGTACATTACTAATGAAAATCATATGTTGTAGGGTATCTTGAAATCGAAGGTCCCACATTTGAGGAATTGATCAATGACAAAGCTAGAGTCAAATACCATCACGATCATCTTTACAATCTTAACGAAGCAATCAAGTAAGTATGAAACAAGGATATGTGTCGATGTTTTAGATTCGTTAAATATACTAAAGATTTTTGTCTTACGACGTTTTTGGAAACCATTGTAGGGCTGGCGTGAAGGTAAAAGGATACTTTGCATGGTCATTTTTGGACAACTTTGAATGGGCGAGTGGATACGCGGTTCGGTTTGGCCTTAACTACATCGATTACAAGAACAATTTGAAGAGAATTCCAAAGCTCTCAGCCAAATGGTTCGAAAATTTCCTCAAAACTTGAAGATGATCCATGATGTTGCCCCTCTTATTCAATGAATTTTCATGTCTTTTGTTGATTATGGGATATGGTAGTGAAGTAGCTAAGAAATGTCCCAAAAAAAATGAGGTTATTTGCTTATGTATGTGTGATGTCTATTTTCTGATGATCAATAAAATAAATGACTGTTTTCATGAATAGCCCATTGTTAGAGATTTTTCTTTTCGATTTTCGCCAAGTTTTTGTTATGAAGATTTGAATGGTTACAATTTGTGTAACGACTCAAGCTCACCACTAACAGATATTGTTCTTATGAAGTTTCGAATGGTTACAACTTGTGTAATGACCCAAGCCGACCGCTAAAAGATATTGTTCTATTTGAGTTATCCCTCAAGTTTTTTAAAACGAGTTTCATATGGAGAGGTTTCCACAACCTTATAAAAAAAAAAAAAAACGAGTCTGCTATGAAGAGGTTTTCATACCCTTATAAAGAAAGAATGGTTTGTTTGCTATAGAGAGGTTTCCACATCCTTATAAATAATGGTTTTTTCTCCTCCCCAACCGATGAGAGATCTCACAATCCACTCCCCTTCGGGGACCAACGTCCTCGCTGGCACCCGTTCCCTTCTTCAATCGATGTGAGACTCTCCAATCCACCCTTCTTCGAGACCCAGCCAGCGTCCTTGAGCTTTCCCTTCCGAACTTTCTCTTAAGGTTTTTAAAACGTGTTTAGGGAGAGGTTTTCACACCCTTATAAAGAATGTTTTGTTCTCTTCCTCAACCGACGTGGGATCTCACAATTCACCTCCCCTTCGAGGCCCAGCGTCCTCGCTGGCACTCGTGCCCTTCTCCAATCGATGTGGGACCCCTCCCCCCCAATCTACCCTCCTTTGAAATCCAGCGTCCTTGCTAGCACATCGCCTCGTGTCCACTTCTCTTTGGGACTCAGCCTCCTTACTGGCACATCTTCTGGTGTCTGGCTTTGATACCATTTGTAACGGCTCAAGCTCACCACTAGCAGATATTATCCTCTTTGAACTTTCCCATTCGGGGTTCTTCTCAATGTTTTTAAATCCCGTCTGGTAGAGAGAGGTTTTCACACCCTAATAAAAAATATTTTTTCTCCTCCCCAACCGATGTGTGATCTCAAAACTCGACTCTTAAAACATGACCAAATCAAACTACTATGATGTGCATTGTATAATGATCTTTAAAAATTAAATCAAGTTTGAAATTATCTAAAAGATAAATGCTTTGTAGCAAAATAGCAAGTGTTCATAGCAAAACAAAGAAATTACCTACTTTGTAAGGTGTTTATATGACTAATAACTTGACAAATGTGGACTCTCTAACCCAAAACATAAAGGTTGGATTGGGTTAGATTTTTTCGATCCAGTTAAGTTACCTATTTTTACTAATGAAATAAAGTCAATACTATATATATGACTTAATTATGAAATGTGATACCATCTTTTAAAACATTTCAAAATGATGACATGGACTTAAACATTCATAAGAAAATCGTTAAAACAATGCAGCTGAAAAAGTAAAATTTAAAGAAAACAAAGAAAAGAATAAAATAATGTCCTAATCTATCTTAAGGGCTACCGACAATAACATGAATGCATCTATCCTAACTTCAATTTCATGATTGTCACTGTGACATCGTCACTCGTGCAGATGTATCTTATCTTTATCTTACCTTTACCTGAAAAATAAGAATTACATGATTGAGATCAAAAAATGCAATCCCATGCAATCATGTTTCGGACTCATCCTTTCATAAAACATCATGACATGATCTTGGTCTCTACTTCTAGTTTGTGCATAATTGAATGTGTAAATATTTCTCTACACGTGGACCATGTTGTACGCGCACATAGACCCCAAGCGAGCTCATATACGTACCTCTGGAGCTGCCCCTTCCCTCCATGGCATTTCGACAGTGTGAGTGTAAGTTATACCATCGTTCATTTCATACGTAACTTAATCATTTCATGTCATCTCATAATGTTAGTGTTATAACATGGTATAACACTTTCCATAACATTCTTCTAAGAATATAAGTCTCAAAATCAATAATTAAAGGAATCATTCTTCTACTTATCTATATAAGAATGAAGGAATGTATCTCATAAGATTATGTTTATAACTCCCTATTTTGTCATGTCCTAAAAATAGTAAGATTATTGGGACTGATACAAAAGTCATTCACACTAGCAAATAAATTGACAAACACAAGAAGGAGCTTATAGCTTAGGCAAGATTAAGATCGAGTCACATATGATAATCATGTGAAATATTAATAGTTTTAATTAACGAATCAATATTATACAAACTTATTATATAGGATATTTTCACTTACATGTCTCAACAAAAACGGAGTTGAATAAACTATCAATAAAAGTTATAAAGTAAGCTATATCAATAGCGTTACCAAGATAGGAGATTCAATCTTATACATATACAATAGATCTTTTAGGTTATTAGAACGACGATTTCATATATGTTGTTAGCGATTTTTCATCGTGGCTATTTTTTCTAGCTATTCCTCACTACTTCCCATATGGGTTTGACTCGTTATATCAAGTTTTGTATTAAATCTCCATCTTACTTATTTTAGCTCAACAATTATTTGGATAGTTAAATCATCCACTTTTAGACTGATAATTAGTGTCTTATCCATTTAACCATGCACCAAACAAAAAATCTTTAACCAATCTATTGGATTAGGTTTTAGATCACATGGGAGTCATTCGAATTTTTTATTGGATTACCATTCTAGGGGCGATGAAATACTTTTAAGCACTCAAAATCAATCTAATGTTCAATTTTATAATTTTGATTTTAAACATGACAAAGGTTATTCTAACCCTTTCAAAATGACTCGAAAATCTTTTAAAAAAAAGAAGCTATTCTTCATATTTCAAAAAGATTCTTGGCTTTAAAGTTGGTATTGAAGAAACAGTGAGATGCTAAAGGAGTTGAGAAAGAATGAATCGAGAAAGATTTAGATTTTTGAAGCATTTAAGTTATTATTTTTCGTACGCAACATAGATTGTACATTGAGCTACAACAAAATGTTATCAGTCTCACAGTTTTAAAATGCATATACTATGGAGAGGGTCTAACTCTACTTCATTCAATGTCTTGCACCATTCAATGATTGGCTCTAATACTATTTGACGAGCGGTATTCCAGCAAGAACGTTGAGCCTCCAAGGAGGGTAAATTATGAAATCTCCAGTAGTTGGAGAGGAGAACGAAGCATTCTTCATAAAGGTGTAGAAACTTCTCCTTAGTAGACGGGTGTGAAAATCTCTCCCTAACAAACGCATTCTAAAACCTTGAAGAGAAGCCCAAAAGGAAAAACTAAAAAAAGGACCAAACTTATTAGCAACGAATGGGCGTTGCACTCTTTCCAACCCTTCAAAAAAACTAAAATATAATTCAACACATAAACAAATCAAAATAAAAAATAAAAAAAAAAAATTTAAAAGTTTAGAAACCAAAACATAAAATAATCATGAAATTTTAAGAATGAACATAGAATAATCTTAAAAAAAATCGGTCAATTCAAACTTTTGATATCACACGTCTCGTCACCTCACCGAAAACCATGTCTCACTACAAACCGCGTGACACGCTTAATGCACTTTTTAAAAAAAAACAATGAGCTCACAACCTACTTTTACACTATCAAGACATTAAGAAAAATGTTTATATTCTCAGACATAATAACATCTCAAAAAGAAAAAAGTATGGCAAACCACATCTTTTCAGCATCCAACACTCACTTTATTCAACAAACTCATCAATGCTTCATTTCTTCAACCCATTCTTTGCAAACAATTAAAGTTTTCTCCTTAAAAAGTGATGGCAAAAACAAGAAATGAAGATATCATTGTAAAGAATGTTGATCCACTTCATTCTTAGTTAGAACATTCTGTTGTAATGTTAAGAACATATGGTGAAGAGAAAGAATAATAAAACAAGCACAGTGGATGATACTGAATTCAACAGTTCTTTAGAGATAAGAAAAGGCAGGAAATATCGTAATCTAGAAGAACATCACTATGCCTCATTCACTAAGAAAACCAAATTCTTCCAAGGTTGTTTTACCTGCAGTTCACGCCCGCTTCAGCAGCTCGATGGGGCTTGCTTTTTCGCCTGCTTCCGTTGTGACGAAATCCATTTGATCTCGTTGATTCATCAGTGCTCGACCGTGTTCCGTCCCCATTTTCGTCTTTGACCGGATCGAGCTTTTCTTTCACTTGTGAGCTTCTTCTCCTCCTTTTCCCATTCTCTGCTGCAGGTGGGCCTTTCATCTCCTTGCTCACAATGTCACAGCCTTTCACGTTCTCGCTGTCATCGTCTTCTATCTTTTCGGCTTCCTCCTCATCCATCTCGTCCTTCAATGGCTTCTGTGGCCTTCCCCTTCGCTTTTGTGCAGGGATCTTCTCTTCCTCACCGCTTCCAGCATCATCGTGATTCGTCATGGTCAACTTCCTTCCTTTTCCCCGACCTCTACCCATCCTCTTTAAGCACTCCAAGAAAGAAAAATCATGCAACAGATAGCAACTGCCAGACACAAAACAAGCAATTACATAGGAAACAATTCCAATTCGCTTGCAATAAGAAACTCGTGAAGTAAATAAACACACCAAGCTCGAATATCGTAACCAGCTGATGGTTATCAAGCATGACACATCTTGTAACAGCCCAAGCCCACCACTAGCAAATACTGTCCTCTTTGGGCTTTCCCATTCGGGCTTTCCCTCAAGGTGTTTAAAACGCATCTGCTAGGGAGAGATTTCCACCCTTATAAAGAATGCTTCATTCTCCTCCCCAATCGATGTGGGATCTCACAATCCAACCCCCTACGGAGCCCCGTCCTCACTAGCACTCCTTCCCATCTCCAATCAATGTGGGACCCTCCCAATCCACCCCCTTCGAGGCTCAGCGTCCTTGCTAACACACTGCCTTGTGCCCACCCCCTTTCAGAGCTCAACCTCCTCGTTGGCACATCGCTCGATGTCTAGCTCTGATACCATTTGCAATGGCCAAAGCCCACCGCTAGCAAATATTGTCCTCTTTAGATTTTTCCTTTCGGGCTTCCCCTCAAAGTTTTCAAAACACGTCTGCTAGGGAGAGGTTTCCACATCCTTACAAAGAATGCTTAGTTCTCCTCTCCAACCGATGTAGGGTCTCACGCATTTTATACAATTACAATACTTCCTCAAACTAATCAGCACGGAAACCTAACCAGTAGAATACAGACCCTTGAATTCTTTAGGGATGAAATGAAAGAAACTTAAACAAAATTGCATGACAGCAACAAGAGAAAAGGGCAAATTTATCGAACTTCATTGTAAGTTCTCTATTAAAAGACCTAAATCATGAAAAGTAAACACATAATATAAGAATTCGTACACAAGGAGGGATCAATAAGAGTATTATAAGAGATCAAGATTTGTTCATACTAGTATAGATTCTAAGTTCAAATCCCTACAATATCACTTCCTCCCAATTGATAGCTAAAGTTCACATGTAATTGAATCTAAAGCAAAGCCGAAGTTCCTATAATATGCTGTTCTTGCTTGCAAAGTTTCTCAAACCTAAGTTGACTTCCCCTGATTAGGTAAGGATTAAACAGAGCCAGAAAGACGAACAAATCTCAATCGAAGATAACCCAATTATAAGCAACAAGAATCTCAAAACCACAAACAAATATCAGAATCGAGAGTAAAAGCTACCAAGAAACTCGAAAATCCCCGAACAGCAGAGACAAACAAGATCCACCAAAAAGAAACAGAATCGGATTGGTAGAAGACAAGATTAGAACAATAGAAACAGTTAATCGACAGATTAATTCAATTTTATAGGCAAGAAAAGAAGAAATGAACAAAAGCAACAAATGAAAGAAGAACAAGAAACAGACAAATTCAAAACAGAAAAAAAAAAAAAAAAAAAAAA